GGGGGGGATACCATGGGGGGGGGGGGAGGGTAGCAGCCCTGCATCATGTATGCATGTTTCGTTCGTGTACTTACATGTGCAGGTGAAAGCTTTTTGCGAGTGTATGTGTGTGGTAATTTATGTCTGGATGCGTCTGTGTGTATTTTTGTATGTCTACGTGCTGGTGTCTACGTACATGTCTGGATGATTCTTGATGTAACTGCTTGCAAGCGTATGTATTTGTAGATATATATATATAGACATACATGCACACATATTTATTTGCATGCGTTGAGTCCTTCCCCCGCACACTAACACTCAATTAATGGTATTTTTAGATTTAGATAAAACAGGCAGGGAACAAGTCGCACTGGACTAGTCGATCGACTTTTGCCCCCCCAAACCTGTTTTCCTGCCCTCTCCCTCCTCCCTCCCTCCTCTCTCCCTCCTCTCTCCCTCCTCCCTCCCTCCTCTCTCTCTCCTCTCTCCCTCCTCTCTCGCTCCTCTCTCCCTCCTCGCTCCCTCCTCCCTCCCTCCTCCCTCTCTCCTCTCTCCCTCCTCTCTCCCTCCTCGCTCCCTCCTCCCTCCCTCCTCTCTCCCTCCTCCTCTTCAGGCCACGAACCACCAAAACCAACACATCATCATGTATGTGGTCTCAACTTGGAGGACTTGAAGAACTTAGAGCGAAGTGACTTCTGGCAGAAGAAGACATCCAGCGCTGTTGCACCGTCCATGTGCACCTTCCCGAAAGCTGTGCTCCACAGTAAAGACAAAACAACTCGTATCGGAACGTGCGGTTGCACCACCGTCAAGTGGACCACTGGCAACCGAACAGCCCGCTCCCGGCTTACAAACAGAAACGTAGTCCAACTATGCCACTATGTGCATCCGAAACCAGGCAGTGCACACATCGAGCCGACATCACGAGTCTCGAAATCATGACCTTGCATGATCTTGTCCAAGAGAGGAACTGCAAACATGCCATAAGCTCTATGCTCTAGAGCAAAATTATATGGCAACACGCTCAGCCACCTGCTTGCGCCACTGGAAGCGCTTCGCATCGTAGGGGTGGCTTGTTTCTAGGATGGATGCCTCGCCTTGGACGATAGCACTTGCTGATACGGTATGAGGCTTAGCAATTCATCGATCTCCCTCCAAGCATCTCCAAGCCATGTAAGCAACACCAGGTGCAGCCACTTTGCCGGCAGAGGCTACAGCTACAGATAACTGAAAGTTCCAACGTCGCACAGCCACGTTGGCTTCAGAGATGAATCTTCAAGCCCCATATCAACGAGCAAAGGAATTTTGAAACTTACCCTCAGTTCCCTGGATTCGAAGTTACATTGGGCCTCTCACAGCAGAAAGCCCACTCCTCTCGCAAAGCGGTGCAGCAAACGGCTGGAACTGTGCTGCCCAGGGTGCCCAAACCTGCCTCTGCCTTCAAAGACTTCCGCATGCTTTCCAGGCCCTCCGTCCAAAGATCCTCACGTCTCAAAAAGGCTAGGACGGATATTGACGGGTTCGTGCTCGACGCGACAGAAAAGGTCTGGGAGTTGGTCAGAATGAATATTTTTTCTCGGCACCCTCGAGCAAATACGAAAGCCAGGATCTGTTCGCGTCGATGTCTCGTGGGGTGATGCAGACATGCTGGGAGGCTTAAGCCACCGGAACTTCCGGAGATGCTGACGACAAACTGTGCTCCAGGTGCGGACCAGTGCAGCAGGTGCTTAGCGAGTCAAGTGGTACAAAGTTGTTCAATTCTCACTTAAAGGCTTCTGGAAGTGTGTGTTTTTTGCAACCTCTGGAACATGTTCGAATTTTGGCCTATTTGTCCATTATTCCATGGACCCGGCAAATGAACCCCACCTCTCCAGAGTTGGCTTGAATATCACACCACTAGCCCATCATATGTGCGGAGCAGTAACGCAAATTGATGCCCTTACACAAGAACTCCGCAGCGTCGACTGAATGACTTTGAAACACTGACGACGGACAAGAACCAGGTCCAAAGGGACGGTCTCCACTGCCAACCACATTGTGCCGCAAGAGCAAAGTCACAGGGACAAGTCCGCTCTTCAGGATCGTGGGACGTTTATCGATGGAACAATATAGAAGCCCAAACATGGAGCAAGAAGCACTGCAAGCGCTCTCCTGGTCAGAACCCAGTGCAGATCCAATCTTTGCCTGAGCACAACAGGCCAGCCTGTTGGGAAACGTCTGCAGTGAGTTGATGAGCATGTGAAAACCCTTTAGAATAGAGTGGTCTTACTGGGTTGATGAATTGTGCAATCTTTTACAATTCAAGAGGCGTCGTGTGACAGTCTTGTCCCGTCTTGGCATTCATCGTTTTGATGTCAAGATCTATCTCTCGGTTCATGTTCTGACGCGCGCACATGCGACACTGTGACTATGCTTAAACATCGTGCGTGGTCGTGGTGACATGACGATAATGAAAATGGTTGATGATGATGGTGAAGGTATGTGAAGGTGTTCGTTGTGACGAGTATTGTAGCTGTGGCTAGCGACGATCAGCTTCTCATGACTCATGACTACTGTCGTTGCCATGGGCCTCACTTTTAAGTGTGTTGCTGAGCCCAAATGAGCTATCACCGCCAGCAATTCGTCGCCTTTTTCCAGGGCTAAGCAGCACAATGCAACTTCGAAAACAGGACCTTGCACATGTTAGCAGGTGTCTCATGTCAATCAACCAATATCGTTGATAGCATGCTAAGGGAACACGGTAACCGGTACGCTCGTTCTGGTTCAGAGCCTGGCCGCCCATTCTTCTGCCAGCGTGGCTCCATCACGAACGCGAAAGACAACCTCCTGCCCCGTAGAGTCCTGGACGGTGATGAACCGTGGCATGTCACTGTTTGGGAAAGCTTACTTCAGAAATTCAGCATGGATAATGGATCAAGGTCAACCAAACCACATGCCACAAAGCCTGGTGTGAACACCGTCGAACATGTGCCAGGACGATAGAAAGAAATACGCCAGAAGCCCTGCTCGCCCCACTGGCCTTCGCCAGCAGCTTCTGAATCATCGCATCCACATCCTCCGCGGCCAAGGACGAGGCGGCAGCCTGACACGTCTCATGCCTTGGCCAAGTGCCGCCGCATGTAACAGCAGCCAGGTAAAATCGCATGTCTCCAGCAGGCGTTCATCGGTCGGCCTACCTTGCGAATTACAAATTATGCCAGCGTAGATCCCCGACGACCAGACGACCACGACCACCAGGACCAACGAGAGCCAAACTGGTGGCAGCATTCACGAGCGAGTTCCCCGAGGTACAGACATGACTCAGAGTGTTCGAAGCCAAAAGGTGGCCCATGTGTTGGAACTTGCCATGAATCTGGACGCGGCAGTGCGGAGTTGGGCAAATTATGTATAGGACCACAGCATGCACCGGGCCACAGCAGCAGCGCATCCCGGCAAACGTTTTCTGCGGCGTGCCGGACAGCCAGCCGAACCAGTTTGCCACGCTGTATGGGGAATTTGGCTAAGCCCACTAAGCCACTAAGCCCACGTGTCGCTCATCAAGCTCTGCACGGCCTGAAGCTGCATTCTGGCAGACATCTAGGCCCCGTGCACTTGCTCGTAGCAGGGCTTGCACATGTCGTAGTCGCAGCTGGCTTCAGGGCATCGGTAGGCCGTGCCGCTGATTCCACACATGTCGCCTCGGCTGCGCATGACACGTGCTAGTCCAGGCGCAAGAGCTCCGCCCCGATACAGGGCCACGATCTACGCAAGGAGCAAGGCTTCTAATCAACGAGTGCACCAAGAGACAAACAGCCAACCCACCCAAGAACCCCCCCAACCCGCACCACCACCCAGCCAGCCACCCAGCCACTCGTGCGCCCACAGAACCTCACACTGATGTATGCATACATGCATATACATGGGCACAGCCGAAGCCACCAGCTGCAGCTGTGGCAAGTGCTACACCTCGCTCCGCACAACCCAGCTTTGTGTGGGGAAGAGTGTTGTAGAACGTGGCAATGACACGAACTTTCGGCTATTTGGTTTTGGTCGTCATGTTCTGCGCTTGCTCATGTTCTGTTGGATCACAGAGCGTTGGGATATACATGCTTGATGGGTTGTCGTTGCTGCTTCACAGGTTGAAACAGTCTCGCTCATGCGATTCGGCACCTTCTACTCGTGACGGTGAGTGACGAGTGCAGACCAGCAGCGGAACAACAAGAAGACGAGCACGGCAACAACAAGAAACAAACAGATCAACGGAACCAGCACTGAGCACGAAGCTGAGCACGAAGCTGAAGTTGCTAGGCTAAACTCTACAATTCCGTAGGCGGAAGGAGCCTAGAGTCTGTGCGAAATAGGCTGTTTAGCGCAGCAACGTTGTGTTGCACATGCAGCGCTTGTCGATGTATGTGGGGAAGTGTCGCAGATATACAGGGACTAAAGAACACTTGCAATATCCGCATGTGGGGCTGGTAGACGGAACTTCGTTGTTGCTACACAGGAAGAGGAAGCTAGAAGGCTCGAAGCAAAAGTACTCCACAACGACAGCGGCGACGACTAGCACTGATAGCAATAACAGTAATACTAACAATAACAACAATAACAACAGTCACAATAATGATAACAATAATCGGAATACTACAAGCAAAATAAAAAGAATAAGAAGATCTACGACTACTGCCAATCAGTCATCGCGGCAAGTGTATGCTAGTGAGGATGCTACCGGTGTGGCGTTAGGCCGGTAACTCATGAACATGAGTCTGGTCGGATGCGGTACTGCCATCATTGCTATTTTGCGTGATTGCAGCTTGTCCCTGTCATCATAGACAGCAATCATCGACACAGGAACCATCAGCATCATGGACCGTTGCAGTTGCCCTCGTGTTCATCCTCACCATCATCATCATCATCATCATCAGTTTCGGCAGTTTGCCCATGCACATACTTATGAACTAGGACACTGAATAGTTTTTAGCGGCATTGCACCGAGGTTGCTCGACATTGGGACTTCAGGAGCTTTGAGTTTACGGATTTGGGGGTCTCAGCGGCATCGATGGCTGCCTCGTACATCTGGACGCAAACCTTGTGACATTGAGCTGCTGACCCGTCTCTGTGCCTGTTCCCGTACTGAATCCTGTGCGGCTTCTGCCGATCCGTCCTTCCATGCCTCGGTCCGTCTCTCTCCCTTTCCACACAGCCAAAGGAGAGCAGGTCACCCTACCCCCCTGTCTTGCTTGCTTGCTTGGGGTACACTGGCCCGAAGGCCCACCCCTCAACAGCTCGCAGCGACTAGTCTGTGCGACCCCTTCCGGGGATGAGGACAAGCATCTTCCCCTCTCTTTCTCTGTCTCTCCCCCCCTTCTCCGATCAATGAACCTCTGCCCTATGCCCGTTTGTACAAGTTCCTGCGTCTTTAACAGTGCCAAGTCTTTCGTGAGGCCACCAGCGGCCAAGGCACGGTGGCCTCTGTTGCAAGCAGGCATGGGCTTCAAGTTGAAAGCCGCCTGAAGCGTCAGCAGAGGAGGTGCGAAGTGGCCGTCAGACGTTGGGTTTTTCTGCATTCCGCAACAGCCTACCCAAGATGGGGTCGAAGTGAAAGCTATATAGGCTGCACTGAAGAAGAAACCTCATGGTAGAGGTGCTGCACATCGTGGAACGGAGTCATAAAAGTAACAATGCATGCAGTTCCCGATTGCAAGAGCTTTCGTAGACCGCCTCTCGGAGCAAATGCGGAGCAAGAACGCCTCTCGACTCGTTGAGGGCCTGCAACAAGGCTCGTGGATTCAGAACTCGGAGGTGGCCACACTGCTTTGGGCTCCGAGGAGGCATCCAACGGTGTCCCTTTCCCTCGCCAGCCCAGCCTCCCAGCCACTTCGCGGTGGCAACTCGACTCCGACGACCACCTGAAACATCACCACATTCCAAACAAGGTCACGAGCAGCCTTCAAAGTATCTTGCATGCCGGAGAGCGGAAGCTGAGAAGCGCCAGTCGTCCATTGAGGAGTCTGAGATTCGCCACTTGCCCGCACCTGATTCTGCCAAATCCAAATCGACAGCGGAGGACAGGAATTCAGACGACGCGGTCTGAACAGAGAAAAGGTCTGGGCTGGACTTGCTGGATCGGGATACATCGGCTGTCCGTGCTCCTACTCATCGGAACTCTCACGAGCGCAACCTGCAACAATTCCACCAAAGATTATGCCAGGAGTCCAGGCTCGCACCACATGTGCTGCCCAGTGGGGCATTTGTACAGCGGGTAACCATTAAGCTCTCCAGCCCGCTCCTTAGCCCAACATAAGCTGAACATCCATCTGCGTCACTTCGAGAGCATGCTTACAATCATCACTCAACGTGACCCCACCTTCGCCGTCTGTGGAGTCAGGCAATTGCCCCAAAAAATGGTAAATCGCATGTAGGTGCGACATCTGCGCCACTGACACACACATACGCTCCTCGCACCAGGAGACCGCAATCCGTGCCAGGCATCATACTTACCCCGGAGCGCGCTGGGACCGTTGACCACCACCGCGTATGACCTAGCAAGCATGTGCAAGAGGTCCAAACTCCGTCAGCAGATTTATCACAAGCCGTATGGCTGTGCCGGTCAGGGTTGAACTTGTTGAATCTTCAGGCTTCGAGTCGTTGGCAAACCTGTCAAGCAATCCCGTCAAATCCGCTACTCTGGAAGTTTCCTGTAGAGGCCTCTGTGTCTTGGGGACGTCGCGGTACTTCTGTGCAGCAACCAGCCGCTGCACATGCTTCCTAGGCTCAACACCGTGGTCAGCGGGGGCTTGTTTGATGTGCGGGTCCCAGCTTCCCTGGCTGAAACTGTCATGTGCTCGGCGTCGAGCTGATGATTATGCATCTTTGTTTTGCTTCGACGGCTGGGTCAGGAACAAGATGGGCTCTGATGAAATCACGGCCTGGGATCTTCAGGTTGACTTCGCCGTGGATCTGCACTTCCTGGAGACAAGAAAATCGCAGCGCAAACAATCAATCAGTCCTTCTTCGAGACAAGAAGCCAGGAGCCTGGCAAGACGACCTTTTTCAAGCTTACTGCCGCGCTGAGGGGATCGGAAAACAGTGTCGCAGCGCGGCTGCGAGCATCATGCGCGCCTTGCGCAGTATTGAGAATCGAAACATGTCGACTCTTCTCCACGGCTATTGAGGCAGTGGAGGGGCGTATGGTGTGTGCTGCTGCGTGGCTCATTGGCCAACTGTCAAGGCTGGTTTAAGCCTTCAGCCAGCTGCACCGAAGAAGGGCAGCTGAGAACCAATAGCTAAACGTCTACAACGCTTCGTCCCGTCGGCACAAACGGCTCTTCTCTCGTTGTCTCACTTGCCCTTCTTAGCATTGGCTGGAGCTGTGGCAGTACTGGAATACACCACGCCAGCGATTATCAGCAGCCCACTCACAAAGTACAGGGCACGGCAAAGGTTGAAGTCTATGCTGCCAGCAATCCTTAGCTCCGCAAGCTGACAATACAGGTCCATGCAAACGCCTGGTGTAAAATGGACTCGACATTCGCAGTCCACGCAGTCAGCCAAGCAGGCACTTGGATATGGCAAGAGCCCGTCTCAACCTTTCACCAGGCCCAGATTCAGGATCGAAATTGGGACGACCAGGCCAACGACCCCATCGATCACCGCCTGCACCTGCCCACGTTTCTTAATACTCGAAGCTCGCCCTGCTTCGACGAAGGCCCGAGTCTCAACCCCAACACAAACAATCAAGCCGAGCCGAAGCCAGCTGGGGTTAGGCTCGGGGAGCAACTCGGGTCGCACCTGGGCGCCCTTCTCCCAAACATGCAAACCCGGGAACGGGCCTGCTGCAGCACTGGCATCTGCTCAGCATGCCTGGGTGACGCCTCGACGAGCTTCCTTACACCCAGAGCTAGCTACAAGAGTGCAATCTCGTCCACTAGAACTAGAACACCACAGCGCGATTCTGCTGAAGCAAGTCTTCGTCCATCCAAGCGGCCAGATAAGCGCGCTTAGCATCATCTTCAGCATGGCGGTCGCAAAAGTGGATGCCATGAAGAGGCTAAGGCCTGACAGGCGTTTACTTTATCCAGAAACGCTCGACAGATGCGCTGTCGGAGGCTTCTCTTTGAGTCCCCGAGTCTCCACTTCAAGGGCTGTGTCAGAACACTAAATCCACACGATTGTTTGTTGTTTATCGTTCGATGCCTTAGATTAGATTTCCTTGGTTGCTGCTGCACCCGATCCCCCGAGTGCTTTTACTTCATCTGCTTGTTCAGTTCTTGCACTGCATCATTTTAAGCATTCCGTACTTGGGCTTCCGGAAGTTGCCGGCTGGTTCCAGAACTGCCGCATGGCCTCTGCGGAGTATCATCACGGCGTGATGCTGCGTGTCCCGAGAGTACAGGAAGGCTTGGAAGGATCGGTTATTTAGGACACCAAAAGTACCTTGTTGCCGCTGCCAGCTCGATAGGGGTCCACCGGCAACAGTCTTTCAGGATCATAATCACGATGTTGGAAGATGTTTTAATGCCAACCACCATTACTGTTGCTGCCGTAGCGGCAGCAGAACCCGACGACACCATGGATATCGCCGAAGGTGGCCGAAGGCATTGACAGCCATAGTCGTGAGATGCTGGATGCCAGCACTGAAGTTTTGGCGAGATGCTCTCAGCAAAGTGCTCTGACGCCCGCGTGAGCAAAGAAGACAGCAGCACGCCCACCTAGAAGCCAAGCACCACAGACCGATCCCACACACTCTGCAGAACTGCATGCACTTCTCACTTAAAGCATGCTTGTGGTGCAGATGTACCGTGGCCACAGTTTGTGTTGAGACGGTTTCAGCTGAAGTCTTGAATACAACCGCAAACACATACGGGGAGTTCTCTGAATAAGGGTCCCTTTTAAGGGTCCCTTTTAAGGGCCTTATTTATGAAGGTGCCGCCTTCCTAAAGAAAGGGCCACCAGTTAGAGAACCAACCGAGTATGCAGTGGGGTTGTAGACAGCCCTGTGCAAGCAAGTCAAAGTGGTCCACTCCAAAGGACGTCACTAGCTTCCCGGGCACCACCGGTATTGAAGCAGAGATGCAGTGAGCAGCAGGTTCGACTGTGCAGCGAAGCCGGGGGCAATCACCATACCAACGATGCCTGGCGGGGCTTTGTCCAGTCATTTGCCGAGGTCTCGCTCTCAAGCGAATACACACTAAACGGAGTAGTGGCCGGTGGGACCAGAACCCTGGAACAGTGTGAGTTTGAGAGAAGACGCAAATACATCATGAAGGACAACACCCGATTGATGGGTTCAGCAACTGGCACCTCTTGGTTCTTCGAACAGTCTGTCATCTAGGGCTAACTGGAATGATGATTCATGCACGTTGATCACGACCTTGCCAAGGTGGATCATTTGATGCTTGAACTTCGCCTCCCAGCACTCCCAGAAACTGCAGCTGCCCCCAGGTCCATGCGTCCTGCGAAGCAGGGCATGCTTTAGTTCAGTGGCAATGAACTGATGAAACGCCAATCTCTCCCTCTGTCCTTGGTATGGCAATACTTGAACCAAATCCTGTCCTTGCTACCCTCTCGACGGAACTGCATCTATGCCTGCGCTGTCTCTGTCACCTACACTCGCATCTCGGCTGTCACCTAAGGGTTTCTAGGGTTATGATGGGTTGTGATGACATCCCTGAATCTGGCGGCTTCCGCCCCTGGCCCTGGCTTAGCACCCGGGCGCACCAGAGGGAAGCGCAGGGCCAGGTTAGGCCCCAGGATCGCGTCCCTGCAGGAGTTGTGGATGGCCTGCGCAGATCCGGGTCCTTCCTTTCCTTACCCCACTTGGGTGTCGATGGTCGGGGATAATTTCCCCTCTCTAGGAAGTCTGTAGTCCTTCTTACCCACAGTTTTGTGGCCGACCAGAAAATTAGCGGGATACAGGGTCTTTACGAGACACAAGTAGTATGGTGTACGACTGTGCCGGTTTGCGCCACTTGTCCCCACAACAGCACCCGATCCCATGAGCCAGACAAGATGCAAGGTGCGAAAATACCGAGCGCCCGGCCAACATAGTTAGCCCGAACAGAGCCGGGATCGAGCTGGTGCCTTGCGTGGGCGAACAAGAGACTCAAGACCTGGCCAGGTAGCATCTTGTCCCATTGCTGCCCTGCCGTTGCACAAGTGGCACCGGATGTGAGTTTCAAGGACTGGAAGCCTTTGTTCCCAGATCTGACTTCCCAAAGCTATTCCTACTCCGAGTGAAGCGCTTGCTGACAAGTGGCTGAACTCACTCAGTCGCCAAGGCACATCTGCGCCTTTGCTGCTTGCCTGCTGGTCTGCTTGGGCCGTTGAGCGTAGGGTGCGTGGAGTGCATGGTGCTTAATAGGCGAAAGCAGCACTACCTGATCCCAAACACCACGGCCTGGGCACGTGATCAGCATGCTCCAACTGTCTGTGACAAAGTAAGTTAGTGCAGTGTGGGGCTGATTTGGGTTGAGACCTAAGTCTCGAAGTCCAACTTGTGCACTAAATCAGCACAGCGAAACTCCCACGGCATGTTGTCAGCAAGCTGGCCAAGCTTGACCGAATACTCCCCTCTCGGGCTCGGGTCCTACAAGCCAGGAAATTGAAAGTCGGCCTATCACGCACTCACTCAATCAACCAATCAATCCGCTAGCCGCTAGTCAATCAGTCCGTCAGTCCGCCAGCTCCATGAATCCAAAAGTCTAGCTATCTCATCTAATCCAACCTAACCTGATCTATCTCTCTATCTATCTACCTTTGTCACAACGGCACGTATATTCATGGTGCGGTTGGCGGTGTCGGGGGCATTAGTGCTTAACATTGACCATTGGGAGAGCAGCTGGGCAGCATCTGAGCGCTGCTGAGCTTTGGGCTGGGCTCGGAAGGAAGAACAGGGTCGCCGAGGCGATCGGGAGGACAACGGAACCGAAAGCCTGCAGTCAAGTTCAATAGACACCTGCACGGAAGTAGGCCAAAGGGCTACTACGAGTATCGAACCCGACTCTTCGGGCTGAGGCTGCGTCCTGCGCGCTCCAGACTTGCGAGAACAGGCAAGGCCCAAGCAAACAGCCGACCTGACGAAGCCAAGAACGCTGGACGACTGGAGCAGTGAGAAAAGCGGGGTGATGGGCGGGGCCCCCACCAGACAGGCCAAGGCCGGCGGCCCTGCCAACTGGCCGGTCCAGACAGCCTCGACTCTCGCTGCTCTCGCTGCTCTCGCTCTCGAATCGTCTCTCCGATGCCGTCACGACGATTTCTCGAGACTGGTAAGACTGGCACGAGGACCAGTCTACAGCTGAGATCTGTTTGCAGACGGCTTTCACGGCTTCCTGTGCACTACCGGAGAGTTCCAGGGCATCGGCCTTCTCGGCATCGGTCGCGCTGATCGAAGCCTGAAAATCCTTAGAAATGGTCGGGACGCTTCGGGCTTCGCACCCAGAGTCTCTCAGCTGCTCAAGGCTTCTTTGCAAAACGAATATTCACTTTCTCGGGCTATTCTTCCGGAACTGTGCTTGGGGAAGTTTTATTCATAGCAACGACGGATCCAGAGCTCTAGTGAGAAAGAAAATGCGGTGCTGCACATGCCGCAGGTATTGAAACCTGCGAAGAATCATTAACAAATATTCAAGCGAGTGGGCGCGTGCCTCAGGCACGGGCTGTATACTTCTGCTGGAACTTAATCACATCGAAGCTGCCGACACATACTGCATCAACAGCTGTATGGCGACGGTGGTTGTTGTGAAGCCCCAAATCCTTGCAAATCAGTGAAGCAAGCGAGGTTCATGCTGTGTCGGATGTGGAATTCTAAGATTCTGAATGGCTTCTGCCACCGCAAGTACTCCTCGTGATGCAAACCGTAATTCAGCATGCACTTTGGCCACATGACCACTGTGAACAGGAGACACCAACCAAAAGCAAATCCAACTCCCAAAAGTTCTTAACAAAGCCAGGAGCATCACGAAAAGGTGGTCCACCACCAGCGCCGCCATCAGGCCGAGAATGTTGGCGAAAACAATCCTTAACAGCACCAGCTGTTAAGGCACTGAGCAACGGTATCAGCGACACCGCGGAAGCTGCGGGAACGAGCTGGAAGCGTAAGCCATGGGGTGTTGAGGGATGACAATGCAAGTGTTCAATCACAGCGTCAGAGTCGCTTCATCACAAACTGACGGCACATGGGTGGGCGAGTGGCATGGAAAGGGGATGGAGGCAGGGGCCATCGCGACCCTGCTCGCGGTGCTTCAGTGGCAACAAGATCTGTCCACTGGCCAAGGCTCGATATGAGGGCTGCTTTGGGCGACAGCATGCTGGCGGCTCTTTTCACCAAGTACGTTCCAACCGGAGAGATGAAGCCACCAACTACGGCCACCACGCACCCAATCATCAGATTCTCTGCAAATAGCGCCTTCAGGGTGGACGAAGCATTGCAAGAGGTCTAATGCTTTAGCCCGACTGCTCGTCTCTGCAAGCCTGCACAAAGGAGCCAATGCAGCCGTTCACCAGGGTGTGGACGCACAGGACGCTACGTAACGTCTTGAGATCTTTGGGCACCGGCCGCACGCCGCCAGTGTTTTCCGCCATGGCTGCAAAAGGCACGGGCACGAGAAGCTCCCACTTTCAATCCGAGCTGTTTGCTTCTGCTAGTGAGTGAGTTACGAACTGCCACTGTCCGATTTACCCGGGCTTCGCATGAGCCGTTGCGGTGGATCACGATTAAATGCTGTGTTGGGGCATGGCATTGCAAGTCGGGATCACAAGCCATGTCGAGTCAGAGAGAAGACTTCGGGACCTCCCGCCTTGTACAAGCTGAGGATTTCCTCGTTGCCTCGGGTTGTCCAGCGAATCTCCAGCTTCCAACCATGACCCGGCATGGAGACGACCGCTTGCTCCATCAAACTCCCCAAACTCCCTGGAACGTCTGATCTTGCAGTGCCTAGTGGCCAATGCGCGGCATGTCGATCCTGACGAGGTTGGGCAGTCCTGGCACAGGCTGCAGGATCTGACAGGGCGTTTGGCGGTTCTTGAATTTCCTGCGCATGGTTGTTTACCCACGCGTGTCGAGGCGCCTTTGACTTAAGAATTTGAGCCCCCCCCTGAAATCTGTTGCACATTTTTAACTCGGCGTCTTGTTGAATCGAACGAGAATCCAGAAAACGTCCAAATCAAGAATCCGAGCGTTAGAATGTTGGCTAGAAAAGACTCCTATTAAGAAGCTCATTCCCAAGGTAGAGACCGCCGAATAAAGAATTTGAGCCCTCAGACTCTTAGCTTTGGTGGGCTCTTATCAGGGCTCGTTCTCCAGCCGGAAACCTCGGAAAAACCTCTGAATTAAACATTATTTGAGCCCTCAGTTTCTGAATTTCATAGACTCTTACCAAGCCTCGGTCCCAAGCTGGAGACCTCACGAGACCTCAGAATTAAGAACCTGAGCCCTCAGATTCTTAAATTTAACAGGGCTCTCCAGCCCAGGAAACCTCCGAACTAAGAATCTGAGCCCTCAAAGTCTTAGCTCCTAGGGCTGTCACAAGCATGTCCCAGTAAGGAAACAGAAAGAGGTGCTGGATTTGCGGGCTCCTTAATGCCTTTGGTCCTTGGTTCAATCCCTCTTTAAGACTGTGCTAAGAATCTGAGCCTCCCCGAAGCCTGCAGGAAATGCCAGATGAGTACAGCTAAGAATCTGAACCCCCCTGAATTGGCCGCCTAACTGGCCCTACCAAATTCTAAAGCAGTGCTTCCGCTGTAACTTAAGGTGCAAGCGTCCTCCGACCCATGGCGAAAATTCCTCACCGCCTGGAGGTGGGCCGTGGCGGAAGTCCGGTCCTTGTAATTGTACCCACAGTAGCTCACAGAAGTGATCGCAATGGTATCCGGCAAAGCTCTGATGGTGGTCACGACAGCGGTAGGACATGCATTGCAGACCTCTGCCACGGTCAGGCCGAAGATGTCAGACACAGTCTTTTGCACATAAGGAGGGAGAGCATTACACAAGTTATCGTCAGGATGGACCGTTAAACAAACAACTGTAAATACTCTCAAGATGGCAGTCACGATGGCCGAGATGTGGTCCCCACACGGGTGCATGTGTTGCCTTCTGTTCTGCATTGCTTGATGATGTCCGCCAGACAGAGGTACAACCCTGACAGGTTCAACGACTTCCTTGTGATTTCATCCGTCAAGAATTTCGGGCATTGGGATTTCGATTTAGCTTGAAATCCGAGGAGAGGCAGCAAGCTGCAACCCTGGTCAAGTGCCGGGCTTTGGCCTTGTACCCTCCCACGTTCGAGGAAACATGCAAAGTCGCGACTTACTACTTGCTGTAGCTGTGGGTTCGGGGTTCGAACCGACTGAGTTGCTCCAGAACCCCTTTTTGAGTCAGGGTTGCGCGTCGAGCCGGCAGTGTTGAAGCACGTTGACACCCCTCAAGCCCTAAACCCTTCGGCTCCAGTGGCTCCAAAGATACACATGACGCGGACAACTTTAGGCAAGTCACCAAAAATGAAGGCGGCCTTGCCGCAAATGGACAAGGCCGGGTAGACAGCGACACCAAAGGGGAAATCCTGGCAATCTCCAAAGATCCCAGCAGCGATTGGGTACTACAGTAGTGAAACAACACTTCCACTGATGTAGGCCTCAGGTGTTTTGCAACAAAACTGTTAGGTTGGATTGCTTTGCATTCGTGGCCAGTGATCGGCATATTATCACGATGGTGCCTACCGCAAGTGCCTCTTCGCCGTATGCTGGTGCCCAAACGCCGTTGGTGCCGAACAGAATCTGCCGGCTGTCCAAGTCCACCGCAACACCCACCTTTGAAGAACATAGTGGCACTGGCAGGACCAGACTCACTTGCATGCCCACGAGTGCCAGAACACAGCACATTGAGTGCCCATGTGGCGACATGTTATAAATCCGCGGCAGTGTGAGTCCGTGCAACAACTATAGGGAACACTCCAGGATCACCATATACAGTCAATCTCTGCCTACGAACTCGAGAGCGTGTTGCTACCACGACAGCACAAAGAAATGCACTCCATAAAAAACAAATATTGGCACTACGACAGAAGAACAAACTACCTTGACAGCGCATGACAACCTCACCACGGCAAGGCATGAAAAACTCACCTGGACAAGGCATGAAAACCTCACCAGCAGCAGCAGCAGAGGCACATATCAGTGACATATCAGCATCAGTGAGTTCCATTCAAAAAACATACAGGTTGTTGCTGCGCAGCCGGGCGATGAGACTTCTGACCCCAGCCAAGACAAGGCCATACCGGAGGCTTTCTATCAGATTTTTTCGTGGACGGTGTTGAAAAGTGTGGAGCAGGAGATTTTACTTGCAGAACACATTATGTCCGGAGGCAAGATTGCAGGGCAGTTCTCCATCATGCTTTGTGATGTCTGGGTTTGTGCCTTTTTCAGGAGTCACCAACAACTGACATCAAGCCCGCGCCACGAAAACAACGACCAGGCACGACTTTGTGGCACATTATACTGTTGGCAACTTGTTCTTCTTCGTATCGGCATGCCCAAGCAAGCCACAGGAGTCGCATCACGGCCGCGCCGACTTGCAGTCTCCACACGTTCCGCCTTTGCTCCCTCACGCTTCTTGTCATGACAAACTGTTTTCAGGCTTGAATAATGGCACATCCTCTTCCAACCCCCCCCCTGCAGGGGAATCACCGTTTTGGAAGATTT